CTCTTTCTTTAGATGGGCAAAAGATAGTTACTAAGCCTATCTTGTCACATAACCTAGACAAATCTAATGGACTAAGTCCTTTAGTGAGGCAGTCAGCCACTTGCTCTCTAATGGTTACATGACTTAGTTTCAATTGTCTGCTATTTAGTTTTTCCTTAATGAAGAATCTATCAATCTCCACATGTTTGGTTCTATCGTGTTGCACCGGGTTTTTGGTAATGTTGATTACTGACTTGTCGCACCACAATTTTATTTAAGTTCCTTGGTCCATCTTGAGCTCAACCTACAAGGCTCTCAACCACATCATCTCAACAACTCCTAAGGCCATGTCCCTGTACTCTGCATCTATTGTTGACCTTGCAACTACATAATTGCCCCCCATGAACATGCAGTATCCTGAGGCGGTCTTTTGTCATTTACATAGCTTGCTCAGCCAGCATCACAAAAGTCTCAATGTCTACATGCCCATTCTTCCTGAAGATCAGCCCCTTTTCTGGTGGACTCTTCAGGTACCTCAGAATTTGACACATTGTATCCATATGACCCATCCTTAGATCATGCATGTAGCGGTTCACCACGCTCGTTATAAAAGAGATGTCAGAGCGAGTGTGACACAGATAGATCAGACAGCTTACAAACTTCTAGTGCCTTTGCACTCAGCTCGACCTTCTGTTTAATTGGAGAAACTGCAGGTTTGTACCCGAACATGACTGTTTCTGTGAGGAATCTAATACATACTTTTTCTGGGACAAGGCCATCCTCTCAGATCCACGGGTCACTTCAATTCCAAGAAAGTATCTGAGTTGTTCAAGTTCCTTCATCTCAAATTCATTTCTCAATCTTACCTTTATTTGGGCAATCTCTGCATCGTCATCACCAGTGATAATGATGTCATCAACATACACAACAAGTATAGTGGTGTGACCTTCATGTTGCCAAAAGAACACTGTATGGTCTGTATTGATTTACTGATATTTCATGCCCATAACAAACTTTCTAAACTTGTCAACCCATGATCGAGGAGACTGCTTCAAGCCATACAGTGACTTCCCGTGCCTACACACCATGCCCACTGTCTGGACTGTACTGAATCCTGGTGATATCTTCATATATTTCTCATCCAATAACCGCCATGAAGAAATGCATTATTCACATTAAGTTAGTGTAGATTTAACCTAACATTCACTGTCAGAGCAACCAATATCCTCACTGTGCTCATCTTTGCTACCGGTGCAAATGTTTGATCATATTTAATGCCATATTTTTGACAGGATCCTTTCACCACTAGTTGTACTTTGTACTGCTTCATCTTCTCTTATAGAGTTAGCTTCACTGTGATGATCCACTTGTACCAAACCGTATTTTTTCTCCGTCGGTATATACATTATCTCCCATGTTGGTTTTTTATCCGGAGTCCTAGGCTTTTCTTGTATTACCTCTTTCCACTTGGGTAGCAACCTGTCAACACTTGAGTATAGAGATAATGTCCAACGATGCAATGAATGCTCCATGTAAATATGATATGTTAGAATATGAAACAAAGTTAACAGTGCCATGTTTCTACTCAAAATGATCGGGAAGATGTCTCACATTGCTGCGATAGGTTCTCTTTATAGTTGGAGGGTTATGAGTGGAAAGAGGAGGAATCATATCACTTGGGAGTTTTGAGTCAGAGATGGATGATGTATATGTCTCAAGAGTTGGGGAAGACCGAGACAAGAGACGAGCTGACACAAGTGACACTACAGACACCGTTCCTTTGTTTTGTTTTCTTTTTTATGTATACACTCTTAACTCACCCTCAGTTTGAATCCCACCACCTTTAGATTCACTCTTATCATTTTTTGATTCCTTTGATTCATTCCAAGTCACAAGATAATGCATTGCTCCCATGTTTACCAGTCTATCTGCATTGCTACTCACCCCCTTCCCTCATATCTTTAGTTTCTAACGGATCAACAAGGGTGAGGTCACCTACTAAGTGTAGTACGGTTCAAATTCTCTAAATAATACATCCATGCTCACAAAGAGTCTCTTATCTATACCTCTTTTGGGTAGCAGAATAACTTAAGTACACACATTTCGAAGCTCTAGGATCCAACTTCCCTATTGTTGGCCTGTTATCTGTTACAAAACATACACATCCAATGGGAGGTTCCCACTTTTATCTTCTTTCAAAATTTGACGGGGGGACATCCAGTCCAATACCCTCAATAACATCCTATTGATCAATCGAGCAACTGTCAAAACTACTTGCCCTCATAAGTGCTTTAGGACATTCATTTTGATCATCATGCTTCGGACAACCTTTTGCAGGTGTCTATTTTTCTTCTCTGTTACTCCATTTGTGCTGGTGTGTATAGACATATGGTTTGATACTCCCTTGTGCTAACAAGTATTTCCTAACTACTTTGTTGGTATATTCTGTCACATTATCAGACCTCATTACCTTCCCTACTGTACCATATTGAGTTTGGATTGTCTTGTGGAAGTCTTTAAAACAAACAAAAATATCAATCTTATTTTTCACCAAACATAACCAAGTAACTCGAGAAAAACAATTAATAAAAGTCATGAGTTATTGATCACTATTTATAGATTTCGTAGAACAAGGTCCTCAAATATCAGAATAAATCAAGTCAAAAACATCAGCACTCATTTTCCCAGAACATATATAAGAGTTGCTAATCAGCTTGCCAAACTCACAAGCATCACAAACAAGCTTTGGCTTATTTGCCTTTTCATACAAAAAAAGATATAACCGATTCAATAAACTAAGACAAGAGTGTCTCATACGTCTGTGATGTAGCAGCAACACATCATCCACATTCGCCCCAGATTCTTCTACTACATCACTCTCTACCATGAATGTCAAAGCTGAGTCCATCCTCTCCCGACCAGAGTACACTATGCCACGTTCCAGTCCCAAATGTCCAGCCCATCTATTTCTCTTGCAAGGTCACCTTAGGAATATAAAAAGAAACAACACACTATAATTGAAGAATAATGACACTAATAAATAAAAAGTTCACTGGAAAAGAAGGAACATACAAAATATTGGACAAAGTCATATAATTGTTATCCCTCACTATACCCTTAACAACTACAACTTGTGTTATACCATTAGCAATTTGAATGCTCTCTGGTACTGTTAGGGGAGTATATGAAGAAAACGCTATAGCAGTACCTGCCACATATCGAGATGCACCAAAATCTAATATTCATTCTGATGATACCGTGGTGAAAATAGAGGCAAGAACATATGTATCCCAAGTGCCTTAGTCAGAGTGAGTATAAGTGATAATGTTACCCTTTGATGATGACTGGTTGGAAGCATTCCTAGTCCCATTTTTTGCTGCTTTCTGCTTCCTCTTCAACAACTCCAGATACTCATGACCCTCATTGGCAAAAAACACACCTGTGTCTCTCTTCTATGCCACTATCAAATTTACCTGGTAGCCCCCTTTTCCACCTTTTCAACCACAACAAAAATAACCACAACCTTCTCCCTGTCCACATCCACCCGTCTCTCTCTTTTGGTGGCCTAGAATAGGCCTTGCGAGCTCTTCCTAGACATCCATCATAACAAAAAAGAACGAATTTGCTCGAAACCGAATATATACATTCATAACAAGGGCTTAAATAGGATATTACAACGTTTTACAAATAAACTCCTAAACTTCTTCAATATTTCCTTTTTTCAATAGGACCCTAAATAAGTTCCAATTCTCAATAGCGGCTCTTTCTGCTTGTAGTTGTTTCTTCAAAATGAACTGTGCACAGAAGTGTCAGCTTAAATAAATTTCAACATCTTAGAATCAGAGCTGCATAAGCACTTGCTTAGTGGTAGAATCTTGGGGGTCCTTAAATTTTTGCTAAATACTTTATTATCAAATAATGCACTAAAATTATGACACCCTAAAATGCTTAATAATAACTAAATAATTTTTATATTTTAATTTAATAAATATTTAATAATTATTTTAAATTTTTTATCAAAAAAATTATAATTATCTCATTAAATTCAGAAATGTTACAAAATGCTTTGGAAATATTTAATATACATCTCCTAAAATAAATAAAAAAAAATCATCTCTATTGTGAGATAAAATTTGCAATACAAAATATTATATTATAGTTGATGAAGTTCAAATTGTATTAAAATAAGAAAAAATAATAAATGTATTAAGATATATTTATAAGAATGAATTTGTTAAGAAACGATTCATTGACTTAATTTATTTGAATATATATGTGCATCAAGTCTTTAGAATAAAATCTGTGATATTCTCTTCTATCATTGTCTTGATATTCAAGAGATTCATGTGAATAAAATGAGTTACAAATTTTATTAATTAATTACTATCCTTTTGTATTTATATTATTTGTTTAGCTTTGATATGCCACCAACAATTTTTCATCATCCAACACGAATCTCGAGGCAATATTTTGAGTAAAAAATATTCAATTCTTGATAAAGTGTCATCTAGAGCTCCGATTTCAGCAAAGTTATAATCAAACTGACCGACTCGATGAGACAAACCTAATAATATCAAAGTTAGTCCAATCCGAGTCAAATCAAACCTAAATCAAGTGATTAAATCATTCTTGAAAGATTTCTGGACACATTTGAAAGATCAAACGAATGTTGAATTCAACGAGTTCATAGTCGAATCGAGCGTCTCGATAAGACTAATCCAACGAGCCCAATATTGCTCAATTCCGACATCATTAAGGCACTCAAATGTCCATCAAACGCCATCCGATCAAGGGAAGCTCTCCGGACTGTCCGATCAAAATGATTCATATTCCTGCATTATTTGCACCCAGAACACTATAAATAGAGCCCCACCCCTCACATGAGGGGGAGGAGACTGGAGAGAGATCTTGAGGCTTTGAGGAGTTCAAGTCCAACATCATATCACCACCGATCGTCAACAACTACCGCCGGGCTCCATCGACCACCAGTGACCGTCGTCAACCACCGTCGACCGTCATCAACTGTCATCAACCACCGCTAACCAAACTCTGTCAGTCGACGTTGTACCTTGGAAAATCCAATAACCCTTTCCCGTCTGTGGGACTAGGGGCTTCTGTAATCATCAACTTGTAGTGAATTTTTATAACTGGGCCAGACCCCATGATTTTTTCCCTCTACGGGTTTTCCACGTAAAAACTTTTGGTGTCATCACATGTTGATTCATTTTCATCTAAGTGTGTGCTGAATCCTCTTGCAACGCTAAGACGATAATCCATTACTCTACCGCCACAAATTTTCTAACACGCATCTAGCTCGTTGTTAAAACATATTATTCCTGTTTGTCAATTGTTTACTTATTTGATGTTTATAATTAATTTCTTTTATTCTTTTTGAATTAAAATAAGTCACAAGCTATTTTGAATGCAAATCATTTAATATCAACAAAAAAACATATTTTTTAAAATTATTAAGAGAAATATGATGATGTTCTTTATTCTAAACGTGAAATTATTTTTTTATAAAAGGATATTCATATTCTAAATCTGAAGGTTCTTTATTTTGATGGTCGATGATGTCTTATAAAAAAAAAAAAACACTATTATAGTAGAGCATTATTCTAATTTTTTTATTACTGAATTAAAAATTAATTTCATTGATATAAGTACGTAACCTCACCATTTGATTGAGACAGATACGGGATTTGCATATTGCCAAAAGAGTGGAAGACATTGGTTTTTATGCTGGTTTTGTGGGTGAGTATTTGAACTGATAAAGTGGAAAACATTTATGTTATTCTGCTGTGATAAGTTATTCAATATATTCTCTTTGTATTGATCAACTTGGCATCTTATATGGTCAGCACTGACATCAACTTTGGTTATTTGTGTTGAAGGCGCATCCTTTATGCTGGGTAGGGCCTTGACATCAGTATTTTGGGGAATAATTGCAGACCGTTATGGGAGGAAACCTGTTATAGTAATAGGACTTATCACAGTGTTAAGTATTAATTTCTCAGTATTTCAATTACAATTGTCAGGATTATCTTGGTCGTTAGCTCTTATTTCTGGAATGTTGTTGCTTTGCTGTCCCTAGCCCTTCCATGACAAAATCTCATTTCTTGATGCTTCAGGGTGATATTTAATACATTATTTGGTTTAAGCACAAGCTACTGGATGGCAATTATGACAAGATTCCTTCTTGGATCTTTGAATGGTTTGCTTGGCCCGATAAAGGTTTATAGTTTTTTTTAATATGTTAAAAGCCATTTGCTTGAACATTGTGAAATAGTTGGATGGATGATATTTATGTTCATTGCTACAACATCATTGCATTGATATAGGCTTATGCCGTTGAAGTCGCTCCTCCAGAATATCAAGCCATTGGGATTTCTCTTGTAAGAATCCTTTTGCTTTTTCAACACATTTGATATTTTATTTAGTTTGTTACTTTCCATGCATAATTTAAACTGAAAAATTTAAATATCTATTATTGCAGGTTAGCACAGCATGGGGCATGGGTCTGGTGGTTGGTCCTTCAATTGGAGGCCTCCTTGCACAGGTAATTTATGATTTTATGCATCTGTGAGTGGCCATTTCTCGTGCCCATCCTGACATGCGAAGTTACTAGCACTGTGATTGAATTGATTTTTCATTGAACCGTGTGAAATTGCTTAGGTTGCAATTATATGAAATTATAATGCACCAAAATAACTAACAAATACTGTAGTGCATTAGCAAACTAACGTGGAAGTCTTTGGAAATAAATTCAATGTAAGTTGTACTGGAAGACATGATAATGATGATAAACGATGAATGGTATGATTTACTACACTCACTTCTGATCAAGGTTTAAAACTTGGTTTCAGGTTTGGTCTTATGATGAAAGTTTTGGTTCTTATAATTTTAATGCTGCATTAGTTGTGTTAAATTTTGGTAATGCAGTTTTTTTTTATTATTAAAACAGCTATTTATTTAAAATAATATTTAATATTTTATTAAATCATGAATTTCTAAGTTAATATTAGTAAAAAATATAGTTATTACGGCCAGGATTTTTGAGTGATTACAATAACATAATAATTAAATATGCTTATGAGATAGAATATCAAATTCATTATCTTTATCTCCGTCTCCCCAGAATAACTTCGATTTGATGATTCTATGAAATATTAATTATGAAGCAGCTTATCTTATTTTGTATTTTATTATTGCCTTGGATTATTGAAGCCGAAGCTAAGTAGAGCCGCGGGAAGGGACCCGCGAGCGATCGTGATATTCTGCTGATGGCGGAATCGGGAGTCCTGCGATCGCGGGATGATGATTTCCGCCAGACATGCATCCTGATCACAATCTCAGCCAGATTGTGTTCTTTTTTGAGCTATTCCCTATTCTATTATTTTTATTTAGTTTATTTCTGCAGGAGAGACTATTTATTTGCTTGTTTTTCTATTTAGAGGTACTTTGTGGGTATTGTTTGTGTTTTTGAGATTGTATATCTGATTTCAACCTTTAGTGGTGTTGCATTCTTTTTCTTTTTGCAAGTGGTGTGTTTGTAACATGTGCATGAACATGTGGTGAACCTCCTTAACCTCCGTAGCATGTCGTTTCATCGCTAGTCTCATTATTGTAGCTAGGATAACAGTCGAACGACGCCCTTAGTTTGCTATCCAACAACAGATTTTGTCTCATACATCTTCCAAACTCTGTCCTTCCGTTGCTATCCCACAGCCACCTCTCCACTCAATCCACTTCGTAAACACCTTCTAGGACTCTTAAAAAGGTGTCAGTTAGGCTTACGTGATTGATCATGCTCTATTGCATGTTTTGATAACTTTTTATAGGACAGATAAATAAAACTTTAACCATTTATTTTATGAGGAAGCCCTTGACCTGGTTTGGAAGAAGATGTCCATGCTCCTTCCAAGTTTGAATCACGCATAACGCCTAAATCAATTTTCTTACTTCTATGAAAGGAGAGCAGGAACGCATCAAATCCAGAGAAAAGGTGGGATGAATGGTTTTGTGCATGAAATTTGGAACATGAGTAAAAACTACAATTTGTTTCTTTGGCTGCCAAAACTTATTGATACCAATGGTATGGATCATCTATCAACTAGTTTTTAAAATATGGTTCTGATGGGTGGGCACAAAATAGAAACCGCTCTGTTGTGTTTGTGTAAAGTTATGTATATCAGTTTTGTTCAAAGATTGTAGTGGAAAAAGTCTTGTGAACTTGATAGTATCTTCACGTACATTTAAGCTGGTACACATTTTGGTTGCAAAATATTTTAGCTGTTACTTTTGAAGCTCAATCAAATTATTACGTTGACTGAAATGTTCATTTAGACTGTCATTGCCAATTTCTAACCAAATCAGTCAGCAAAATTGCAGGTAAGAAAAGAGTGTAATTATTTTGCACATAAGTTGGATATTTTCCTTGTATTTTGTGGTATTTCCTGCAAGGACGGTATGCTCAACTGTTCGTTACATCTAGTTGGTTTATGATTTTGTTTTATGGTTAGTTCAAGACTGGCTGTTTTCTTCATAATGGTTTTTTTTTTACCTGTTAGAGTGCTCGTCGTTCAAATATTTAATTTTTAAAATTATGCATTTTTCTTGACTTCAAATTATATTATATTCTTAACTTTTTTGTTCCTAAACAAATTTTAATTCTATCAGCCTGCCGATAAATTTCCTAGTCTATTTTCCAAAGGCTCTCTTTTTGGAAGGTACTAACCCTACAAAGAATTTTGTTATAATCATTGTGCTTTTGCTATCCAACTTATTTATAACTGTTTTGCAGGTTTCCTTACTTCTTACCATGCCTTTTTATATCGCTCTTTGCCGCTATGGTACTATCAACTTGTCATTGGATTCCAGTGAGTTTCAGTGCTCAATATAACTTCTCTTTCTTTAAATTTTATTGCGCAGGATATACACCTCAAAAAACATGCATATTACATACCTCCATTGAAATCATAATTTCTTCTCGCTATGATTCTTTTTGTTTCTTATAGAGGTCAGGTTTACAATCTGTGGGGTGACAATACCGGCACTCTTTCATTTTAGTTAAATTAGTAATTCGTGGGTCTCCGTGGAAGTACAATGCTGGCCATCCTTCATTTTTGTTATGTTAACAATCCACGGGCCTCTTAAAAGTACATAAATTTTTTTAACTTTTTGGAGAATTAAATGTATGTTAGTTGGAGAATATATTTCTTAATTCCACTCAATTTAATAAGGTTTATGTGTAGAATTTACCAAGTGTATTATAAACTCCTAGATAAATAAAGGGCAAGACCTTAACGGAGTACATACAAAATTCAGATCATTTATCCTTATTCCATGGTATTAGAGTCTTAGGAATGAAAAAATCTTATGCCACGACCCGACCCGAGAGCTTGGAACTACCAAGGGGGGAATTGTCGGTTGGACGGAGGAAAATTATCAAGCAATTTCACTTTATAATGAAATCTAAAGCACAAAAAAGCCTTTCTATTTTATAAAACTTATCATTACAATGCTTTATTCATATTTAAACATTTACTTCTTACATAAAATAAAACTGAACAAAATACCTATCAGCTTATGTCCCATAATACTTTTACACATTCCCTGGGGTTCATCTAGCATACATCTGACTTTCCTGTAAATTGTTAGCAACTAAGTTTGAATTAAAACTACTAAGTGGACAAATTTTTCTAAATTGAAATAATTTTTATTTTAAAAAATTTTAAAAAATTTGCAATAAGTAATAAAAACTATGTAGTAAAAGAAATTAATAAAAAATAAATTTTATTTACTTTCATTTATTTATGGTACACTTTTCATTATTGAAAGTCACCGTCTAAACATTTACTTTATAAAACTATACATTTAACCTTTTCCAACCCATCATAAAGACAGACAACTATTTTCATTTCCATTTCTATTTCCGTGCATGGATACATTGCATTTCACAGCTAATACTATCGAGGGGTGATTTCTATATGCATGCATATTCATATTTTATTCATTTTCTTGCATTTAACATTTAAAAAAAAATATTGATTTTTGCATTTTACAAGAAATGCAGAAAAACAATAAAAGCAAGTTTAAATAGCAGACTATCGTAATATAAAAATTATACCCACCTTTACTTTGTAATATGAAGTCCACTATCAGATGAAACTTGTCCTTAAATGCACCTATAATAACAAGCTAACCTTTCATAGCCTCTATCAGTTTTATTTTTCTTTCATATGAATTTTAACATAATTACCTAGAAAATGTTCAACTATTTTTTATCTAAGTCATCAATTTAAGTGGCTTTCCTATAATGCATGGAATATATTTGTAATCACAAACCTAAGTAAGCTTCTAAACTTAGGTGTTAGGGTTGTAATAACTGAAATTTAATAATAATAATAATAAATGTTAATAATCGAACGAAACAACTCTTCAGTTATGACTTAAAGAGTCCTATCCCTGATTTGAACCAATGAAACAGAGAATTAGCGTTAGAGAAAAGAAGTAAGCGCGAGAGAGAAACAGAGAGAGTGAGTGAGAGTAAGTTAGAGCGTGAAGAAGAGGAGGCATCCTTAAGCCGAGTAAAGAGGAAGAAGGAAGAATCAGAAGGACTTGTTGTTGTGGTGTGAGAAGAGTAAGCATTATGCCCGCGTGAAGTACTCCACGTCGTACCCTAAGAGTTCGAAGATGAAGAAGAGGAAGGGCATCGAAACCAAATGAGACGGCTTGCGGGAGCAGCTTCAACGCTGTTTGTGAGTGCGGAGCGAGGAACGGAGCATTTCGTGCGCCTCATTTCTGGCTTCGAGCAATAGAGGAGAAAGAAGTTCGGTTACAGAAAGAGTCGCTTGTGCCGTAATTAATCGAAGGCAGATGCGTCGAGTTTCTGGTGCGAAGGAAAGGAGTTGGCGAGCCGGCAGTCGCGTACAAAGGAACAGGAGGAAGAAGGTACTCATGTGTGATTAGAGCTTTCGACTGAGGCATAAAGGTGAGTTTAATACTCTTTTAATTAATGTATTTAATATTTAATAAGAATCATATATGTATATATGTGTGTGTTTATTTAAATTTATTATTTCAAATGCATTTAATATCAGAATATAGGATATTAAATTCCTGAATTTATAGGTGTAAGGTGATGCTATTTTCCTATACAAGGAAAGAGGAAGAATTGCAAGCTATGTAGTGGAGAGTTGAAGCCTATCGAATCCTAGTTTACAAGTTAAGGTGAAATTTTGTGTTAGTTTTGTTTATTAGTATTTTTTATACATTAAATTGATATATATTTAATATGTTAAAGTGAAACTAGGTTAATTGAGGTCAAGAAGCTAATAAGAAAACCTTGCATGCGAGTAAGAATAGAGTTTGATCTGAAAGCTTATAAGGTAATGTTAAGGCTTATATTATTATTAGAATTAATGGTATAATTGGTTAAATTAGTTATTAAAAGTTATTGAATTAGAAAGCGTGCATGAAGGCTATTTAGAATTGTGATCGGTAAAAGATTGAAAGTACAGAAAAGTGGAAGATTAAGCTAATAAAGAGATCTATTGAGGATTGAGGTGAGTAGTTATATTTCTAAATTTTATTAATGCTCATCATTTTTATGTTTGTCTTCATCTATGATCTATTCCAGTGATATTTAGATTATAGTAGATTCTTCATATTATCAGATTTTTTTACATTATCAGATAGAAAAATATGCATGTTAAATAGTTCCACACTTAAATTAAGTCATATAGAATTTTTTCATATGGTTAGTCATGATATATGCATGTTAAATGTTGTCGTCTTAATAGTTACATAACGAGTTAGTTTATGAAGATATTATATAACTATAAGATGCTTATATTTTAATAAAGATGTATAAGCTATGACTAGTTGTATATGTCAAATTATGATTTGACCTCTATTTGACCTTTAGAATTAGAGTAAAGCTGCATCGTTTAGATTATCATATGACCTTGGATTTTAGTAGAGTTGCATGATTTTTAGTAATATAAGTCTCACATGAAATTAATTTATGCTTTGAATAATGAAATGAAAATATGGCATGCATGAATGTTTGTATGTGTATGTTCAGGGGAATTCACTCCCTAATAGTGCAAATAGGGGATGCAAGTATACCTGCCTGTATAGATATTTTTCTGTCACCCCAGATAATTGTGATGTTAGATCATTAACTGCTACGCCGACGAAAGAATATTGGCCAGAGGTGAGTAGATAGAGCTTACCATCACAGACAATTGTGTTGTTTAGATTGTAACCGCTATGTCGACGAAAGAATATTGGCCAGGGGCAAGTAAGGAGAGCTTACCATCACAAACAATTGTGATATATAGATCGCTACCGCTGTGTCGATGAGAGAATATTGGTCAGGGGCAAGTAAGGACCTTTTCACCTCAGACAATTGTGATGTTTAGATTGCTAACTATTGTGCGGACGAGAAAATATTAGTCAGAGGTGTGTTAGGTTATGTTGTGACAGTGATCCTAACAAATATATGAATGCTAATAATATAAAGTAAAAATAAAGTTAAGATTACAGTAAAAATAAATGCATATAGAAGATTAGAGTATTTTCATTTAGAAAAGATCTTTGATACATCCAATAGTATATTCAAAGAATTTTTATGGAGTTATGAAAAATTAGCATAGTTAAAGATTTCTCACACAGATATGATAAACCAACATGTATGTTGAATTTTTTTTCTTAGGTTACTGTAGTTTAGAAGTGTGATTACTCATGAGTTATCTTTAGAAAATTCATTATATTACTTTAATATTATTTTCAAGTTTAATTATTTAATTAAGATTACTAGAAGTGGAGAATGTGTACAGGTGGCGAGAACAACAATCATAAATGTACAAATTTCTAATTGTTAATTAAATTTGTTTTTTTTGACTCTTTCATGAATTTTTTAATATTTAATTGTTAGTGATAGAAATAAAATAGCAACGATTTGGTTTTCACCATCCGATCATCTGTTTCGGATTTGGCTAATTCCAAGCACTGGGCTGGATTATAACAAAAGTTGTATCAAAGCAAAGGTTTAGATTAAATAACATGGATCTTAATGAAAGAGTCAATAGAGTGATTGAAATAAGTTATAAATAATAGAATTTAAAATTTTAAATGAGTCTAATGAAATTCTTTTATTGTTATATCAGAATGATGAACGGTCCAGAGGTAGAGGCCAGAGATGATGATGATATTCAATTCGATACAGCTAAGAATGTTACAGTTAATGTTGATGCTTTTACTAAGATGATTACTATAGTGAGGTAAATGATTAGAAACTCTCATCCTCAAGCCAGTAGCAGTGGAGGAGCATTGATGTATAAGTACTTGAAGCTTTTTCAGGACATGATGCTACCTTTGTTTTTTGGAGCAAGAGGGTCAGTGGAAGTTGAAAGCTAGTTTTTAGGTTGAGAAAGTTATAGATAGTATGACATGTCCACTAGAGAAGAGAGTTATCCTTGCCATTTTTGCTTTTAAGGGGGAAGCTGAGAGGTGGTGGCAGCAAGGGCAAATGCATGAGAAGTTTGGAGGTAGAACCAACTACTTAGTGTAGTGGGAGGAGTTCGTGACAACCTTCAGAGAATGGTTTGTATCATCATCACTAAGAGACAGTTGCATGATAAATTTATTAGGCTGGTGCAAGGAGATCGATCAGTCATGTAGTACAGAGTGGAGTTTATTATGCTCTTGAGGTATGCACCTTGACTTTTTCTTAGTGCAAAGAAGAAATGCCTAAGATTTTTTTCTGGATTGAAGGATTCAATTAGACAACCACTAATACCACTTGAGATCGAAGACTATTTAGTGCTAGTGGAGAGGGCTAGGGGGTTGGAGATTAATTTTTAGCAGACTT